TTAATTTTTAGAAAACAGAGATGATTTAGTCTGTGCTGAATTATCGACATAATTTTGTCATTTCAGAATGAATGCTTCAGAGGCTTTATTGTATTGTTGCCTGCCTTGCTCTCAATGAGGCTCATAGTAAGACAAACAAATAAGCAAGCATTAGTAGTTGTGGAGAATGTGTGTGTGTGAGCAGAATATAAAAATACTCAAAAAAACAGTCAAGAAGATCAGAAAAGAAGAAAAAGAGAAGGGGTTGTAGGAGGAGGAAGGGTAGAAGGGGGAAAGAAGAAGTAAAAGAAGAAATACCAGTTTGAGGAGTAAAACTGAGAAAAACAAGAACTTCCGCCCAAGTCACACACATGCTTTTGTAAGTTTGCCAAAGGTCCAGATGATATCATTGTGGGCTAATCCAGTGACCAAATTATTGGCTAGTCCGGTTTGCACAGGCTTCCTGCAGATGTGAGCTCTCCCTGGGAGGGAAACACACTGTGGACTCTGGAGAGATGTGCTAATCGCATACAAGTAAAACACAGAACATTCACATGATCTTCGGTTTTCTAAACCAGATCAATTTACAAAAAAAAAAAAAAAAAAGAATCAAACCCCCCTCCCCCAAATTATATATTTTATTTCCATTTTCTTTTCTTTTTTTTTTTTAATATATTTTATTGATTTTTTTACAGAGAGGAAGGGAGAGGGATAGAGAGGTAGAAACATCGATGAGAGAGAAACATCGATCAGCTGCCTCCTGCACACCCCCTAATGGGGATATGCTCACAACCAAGGTACATGCCCTTGACCGGAATCGAACCTGGGACCCTTCAGTCCATAGGCCGATGCTCTATCCACTGATCCAAACTGGTTTCAGCTTTATTTTCATATTCAAACTTCCACTTTCTATGAACTAGTTCCACCCCTCGCTGTTATTTTAATTAGAGAGAAACATAACCATTATCAGTCAGAAGCTCCAACCCAGTGTTGATGGAAGGAACATTAGAGACCTGGGGGTCTGAGAGTGATGCCTGGGGTGGGAACCAGCTCTCATATATGTTTTGTGTGGGTCTTTTTTTTTTTTTTTTTTTTTTTTAAAGATAATTTTTATCGATTTCAGAGAGAAAGGGAGAGGGGGAGAGAGAAACATCAATGATGAGACAGAATCATGGTTTGGCTGCCTCTTGCACGTCCCCCACTGGGGATGGAGCCGCAAGGAATGTCATTAAACCTCTGCAATTTCTTGCAATGCCCTGACTGGGAATCGAACCCTGACCTCAACCACTGAGTCATGCTGCTTGGGCTCTCTCAAGTGTGTTTTGATTGGAAGGAACAGTGTGGGAGGAAGGGAGAAGCAAAAAGAAGGGAAGGAAAGGAAGAAGGAGGAAGCAAGAAAGAAATGGATTGCTTTTAGAAAAAACATAAACTGCCCAGTTCTGCCACAAGCCTCACCATTCCCTGATGTCTTCCACTGGCAGCTTCACACATTCTGTAATTCCCAACGAGGCCCAACTTTATTTTGTAGATAAAGAACAAGAATCTAAGAACAGTCTATAACTTGCCTAAGTGAACAGATGTTTGTCAGCCAGGCAAACAGTAAGAGTCAGTGACCTGGCTCCTGATTCCACATTCTCTTCCTCTGACTACATCACACCCTTCCACAAGTTCAATCTAGAGCCTGAAGCACCGAGATGATGAAATAGGGGGAGTCGGCACATAAGATGATTAGGTCGATGAGCAACGGCTGAGCAACTGGCTGGGCCCCAAATTATATTTAAAGGAAAATAAACAAGGAAAAGGGTGAAGAATTAGCATGGAAAATTGTGAAAACATTTTGCATTTAAAAAAATATATATTTTATTGATTTTTTTACAGAGAGGAAGAGACAGGGATAGAAAGTTAGAAACATCGATGAGAGAGAATCATCGACCAGCTGCCTCCTGCACACCCCCAACTGGGGATGTGCCCCCAACAAAGGTATATGCCCTTAACTGGAATCGAACCTGGGACCTTTCAGTCCGCAGGCTGACGCTCTATCCACTGAGCCAAACTGGTTTCAGCACATTTTGTATTTTTATGTGGTTATTTCCTGGCTGACTATAAATGAAGAGTTGATAGTAATGATTGCAGGCACAGACATTTAGAAACCAGAGCAGTAACTTGAGATGAAAGACCAAGAATGCTGGTTAGCTTTCCCCCTGCTCCTGAACCAGGCGAGAGATTTTGGGGAAGTGACAGCAGATAGACAAAACTAAACCAATAAAACCAACGCAAAACAATATAATGAACTTGAACTTGCATTTTATCTGATTGAATAATGGTAACGTACTTTTCAAGTTATGAGGCAGACACACTCAAAATCATGAAGTTCGCCATATAAAATAATGCCACCATACTCTGTTCAGAAACACACATTTGGGCTTTAAGGAAGATCCTATAAAAGAGGTAATTTATAGGTATGAAGTGAGGAACTTCTAACTATGCTTTGTGCCAAAATTAGTTTTGTTTTCTTTCTATGAATTGTTATATAGGCTACATAAACATAAAAATGAAACACACACACACACACACACACACACACACACACCAAACAAAACAAAAAAACAACAACATAAAAATGCTACTAAATAACAAAGTCCTGAAAATCCATGAAAAATCAGGTGCCACTTCTTGATTCATTGTTAAAACTATCACTAATTTTTTTAATACTTCTATTGATTTCAGAGAGCAAGAGAAAGGGAGAAACATCGATGAGAGAGAATCACTGATGGGCTGCTTCCTGCTTGCCCCATGTTGGGGATGGAGCATGCAACCCACACATGTGCCCTGACTGGGAATCTAACCGTGACCTTCTGGTTCATAGGTGGGTGTGCTCAACCACTGAGCCACACCAGCCGGGCTAAAGTGTTTTTGTTGTTATTGTGTGGGATTTAAAAAATATATATTTTTAATTGATTACAGAGAGGAAGAGAGAGAGAGAGATAGAAACATCAGTGATGAGAATCATTGATCGGCTGCCTCCTGCACGCCCCCTAATGGGGAATAACGCCACACCCATGCAGCCATATGTCCTTGATCAGAATCGCACCCAGGGCCATTCAGTCCCCAGGCTGACACTCTATCCACTGAGCCAAACCAGCCAGGACTAAAGTTTGTTGTTGTTTTTTTAAGTTAACTTTTTTCTTTGCTTTATGTCTGCTCTTGATTACAAATGTCCTATTTTTATACCGTTAGCACACTAAATTTCAAATTTATTTTAAAATGTATTAAATTTCATTTGAATGAAAACTCTTGAGTATTAAAAATAGTACAATAACATTAGCTTGAATTAAATGTCCTCTGATGCTTACATAAAAATTCAAAGTAAGATTGAAGAAGGAGAAACATTAGGAGTCATTTATAATACAATTTATTTTGCCAACCTCAAAAATTAAACAAATCACTCACATTATCATTGTGCACTGCATTTTTCTTGCTTTCAAATAAAACGTAAGCCTGGCCGGTGTAGCTCAATGGTTGAGCATCGACCTATGAACTTGGAGGTCACAGTTCTGGCGGGGGCAAGTACCCGGGTCCGGGTTGAGAGCTTGGACGCTAGTCAGGGGGGGACGTGCAGGAGGCAGCTGATCAGTGTTTTTCATCACTGATGTTTCTATCTCTCTTTCCCTCTTCTTTATTGTCTGAAATTAATTGTAAAAAAAAAAAAAAAAAGTGCCGAAACCGGTTTGGCTCAGTGGATAGAGCGTCAGCCTGTGGACTGAAAGGTCCCAGGCTCGATTCTGGTCAAGGTCGTGTACCTTGGTTGCGGGCACATCCCCAGTAGGGGTTATGCAAGAGGCAGCTGATCGATGTTTCTCTCACCTCGATGTTTCTAACTCTCTATCCTTCTCTCTTTCTCTCTGTAAAAAATCAATAAAAAATATTTTTTAAAAGTTAGAAATGATTATTTCTGTTATCTAACCGTTCTTGAAGCAGGAGGAGGGTGAATACCTTCACGAAGACCAATTCTTTGACCCTTATAGTGTGGCTACTGAGAATGCTGACAGTTTCTTAAGGCTGCTGACGATGGGAACGATAATTAATAACTCTCATAACGTTTACAGTCACTTGAAAATAAACTTTCTAATCTCCTTGAGAAATCCTCCCTTTGCTGCAAATACCAAGTATAAACAGCAGCTCATATTTAATGAGTGCTTCCAAGCACTGGTCTTTACCCTTATTTTCTACCAGAGTGATCTGTAATTATTTCATTTGTTTATTGTCTTTCTTCACCACTAATCCAGGGGCTCCAACAGGGCAGGGACTTTGTCTAGTTATTTATTGCATTCCCCCAGCACCCAGTATGCCATGGCCAGTTTCGCTCAGTGGGTAGAGCGTCAGCCCATGGCTTGAAGGGCCCCAGGTCCAATTGCGGGCATGCACACTTAGCTCAGTGGCAGGTTCAATCTGCCTTGTGGTGTAGGTGCGGGAGGCAACCAACTGATGTGTCTTCCTCACCTCGATGTTTCTCTCTCCATCTCTCCCCTTCCCTTTCACACTCTAACTGGTATGGCTCAGCCTGCAGACTGAGAGGTCCCAGGTTCGATTGCGGTCAAGGGCATGTACCTTGGTTGCAGGCACATCCCCAGTAGGAGGTGTGCAGTAGGCAGCTGATTGATGTTTCTCAAAGTGTACAAAGTGTACAATTAGGAGCTTACTGGATTAAAGAGCAAAGTGTGGGAAACGCGCAAATGTGACCTAGAGCCGTGCAAGAGTTGCTGCTGGCACTGGAGAGCTAGGTGCCTGAGTCAAGATCAGAGAGTTGGACAGGTGACCAAGGGGATCAAGGGAAACACCACAGGTTAACAGTAAAAGCAAACTTTCTCCTGTCCTCAAAAATCACAGCAACACTCATCTTCTTCCTCCGAGTCCTGGCTGGAGTGGGGCCGATTGGGGTGTGGGGCAAGGTACATGGCCAGCTCCCGCCCACCAGGCCCTGGTCCCCAGAGGGTGAGGTGCAGGATTCGGGGGCAACTCACCCCGGAGACTCCGCTGTAATTGCCCCAGAGCCTCCTCCAGGGTAGAGCTCTCCAGGGGCTCCTCCATGCGCAGACTCGGGGTCCAGAAATGGGAGTGAGTGAGGTGGGACAGTGTCCAGTAATCTCCCCTCCGAGCACAGGAAGCCTGGGCGCCCCGACAGGACCCGCCTGCTTCCCGCCTCGGCTGTCAACGGGGAGCCTGGAACCCCACTCAGAGGGTCTCTCAGCCTTCCCACCCACCGGGCCTCCTGGGGGATGACGGGACTTGTGGTTCACAGGCTGAGGCCTTGCAGTCTCGACTTCCCCGAGAGCAAAGTCCAACGACACTACAATTCCCAGAGGGCACCGCGGCGGCCCGAACCGAGGCTGCAACGGTTGGGTTGCCAGATCCGGTTGCCATGGGGACTGTTCGGAGGCTCCGCCCTTTTCCTGGTCTTAGTCCTGCCTTCGTTCCATCCTGCTGTTGGACCACCCTACTGACAGCAAGGTCTCCCTGCAAGGCCTGGACCCTTCTGCCTGTGCCAGGAAGCGTCCGACCCTGCAAGCTTCTCAAAGACGCAAATAATAACAAGCTCGACACTCCTCACGACGTTTGTCAAAAAACGGGCCAAATACATTCTCAAGTGAAAGCAGCTCTTAAATCCTTCCAAAAGAGCCTCGATGGTGTGGGAAAGGTGGCTCACACTACAAATCCGAGCATGCCCAGCCGCCCGACCTCCCCTTGCCACAGCTGGCGCACTGCCCGCTGGGAAGTGTAGTCCGCGCGAGTGGCGGCGGCGGCCGCCCAGGCCGGGGTCCTCCTCATTGTTCCCGCGGGCCTGGGAGGCGCGCTTGCGCAGTGCGACCTGGGACCAGCCTGCGGGAGACCCTCTCTGCACAAACCCCTTTCATTGTCTGCGCCCGGCGCCTGCGCAGTGAGCGCTCGCCGGGTCGGAGCCCGGAGCGGGGATAGGGCCGGGCTCCTCGCCCTCCGCCAGGCGCATGCGCACTGGCCGCCGCGCCTGCCGTTACCGCTATGTGCGGGGCGTGTGTGGAATAACGTTATCGCCCGGCGGCGGCGGAGCCCACAGGCCGGGAGGCCGGGAGCTCGATCGCAGCCACAGCGACGACACGACGACGACGACGACGACGACCACAGGGTGCGGGGAGCACGGCGTGCGGAGCCTCCCGGACCGGCGCCTCTCTCCGCGGTGAGGGGTGAGTGATGCGCGCCCTCGCCGGGCTTGGCCGCCGCCGCCGGGGCTCTCCGCATCCTCCTCCCTCCCTGGCTTTGCAGCCCGGGTCCCGGCCTCGGCCCCAGCCCGCGGCGGGGAAGGCGGGGAAGGCGGGGGGCCCGGGGGCCGCTTCCCGGATGCTCCGCGCGGCGCCTCCCCCCCACGCACCCCGATCGGGGGTGTTGGCCGGGCGCCCCTGCACCCAGCCCAGCCCCCCGTCACCCCCCTGGCGATCCGGGGCCCGGAGCCGCCGCGGGATGGAGTCCTGTCATCGCGCTCCGGCTCGGCTTTGTGCATCCTCCCCCTCCGCCCAGGCCGAGCGCGGGGCGCGGGCGGGGCCGGGCGGGAAGGGGCTCCCCGGGTCCGAGCCGCCTGCAGCGCTGAGATCCCCTCTTTGTGGGTCAGTTCCGGGCTGTGGGGTGACGGGGGGGGGGGGGGAAGGGTGTGGGAGACGGGGTGTCATGCACCCCCGCCGCCGGGAGATTGCACCCCGAGCTCGGCCTCGGCCCCCCTCCGCGGTGCACCCGGGGTGGGGGACACGGTTGGGGGGACCCGGATGAGCACCCAGGGGCCTCCTGTGGGCCTCATTGTCCCGAGGACTCGGATGCGGGGTTTGGGGGATGGCGCCCTGACGTGATTCCCCCGGGGAAGACCGATCGGAGCCGCTGACCCAACCCTTGGGCGGGAAGATGTGGGGTTTGGGTCCCCGAGTCCTCCCTCGAATCTCGTTTTCTTTTTCTTTTTTTCTTGGGAGTTTTCTTTCTGAAACGGAGGAAGGCAAGGTCCTGGAAGGCGGCGGGCCGGAGCCCGTGCAAGCTCCGCCAAGGCGATGGGTGGAAAAGGACTTTCTAAGGGCGAGGACCGGGCTCAGGGCAGGGCCGGCGGCGGCCTATTGTGTAGCTGGGAAATGCAGAATTGTTTTTTTTTCGGTGGGTTGGGTAATGCATGCTACGTTGCTAAGCGAATAGATGAACATCTTGCCTATTTATTTTTTTATTTTTTTAAAGCAATCAAAGCAAATAAAAAAATAGACCTGGTGCATTTCTTTGTCTGCATTTGTTTATTTTTATTTTTATCCTCTTGATGTTGAACATTCACTCCCCTTTGAGCGGAATGGGGTGCAGCAGATTGCAAAGGTCTCTTTTTTTTTCAAAGGGCCTGATCCTTGAGAGTTTGCAATGCTTCTGAGCTTGTCCTGGAGCTAAAACAAGCCCAAGAGAATGAGGCAGGATGGGGAGGAGCAGGTGGGGGATAGTGTAAGGGGTTACAGTATGGGTACAGTATCTAGATCTTTCCTGATGAAATCCTTCCTGGGAAGGCTTCCAAGATTTAGGAATTCAGCCCAGGAAATACTACATTGCAAGTCACAAACCCTCTTGCATATTTTTCTGCCCTCCTGTGTGCGGTTTCTAAGTCACACCAGGGCTGTTTTTCCTGCTTCCTAACTTGGTTAGCTGTTGCGCAATTTTGCTGTTTTAAATCCCAAGAATCTTAAGTGCACTTGACTGACAGAGGAAGACACCAAAATTTGAAAAGTTGACTGGCTTGTCTGACAAACCCCAACTTCCAATGAAAGGCAAGTAACATCCCCCCGTGGGGACATGTATGGAAAGCTGCTCTCCAGCCTCTGCGTGGCCTGTGACAGTCAAGTTCATGGTCACCCCAGTTGTATTAGTCTGATCCTTTGTTGCGTGAAAGTAATTCCACTGGAATAGAACTTTGGTTTTAGAAATTAACTTACTGATGTGGGGGAAAGATACCATAACATGGGTTTTGCATAAAAACAGAAGCTTGGGAAAATTTTTCCCTGCTACTTACCAAGTAATCATATTTTAATATTTTCTGATATTCAGTAGTATTTTATAGTATGATCAACTCTATAAATTTGCCACATAACAAGAACCTGTGAAGTCCATTTTTCATCAGTTAATGCGTTATTTTAAGCAAAAATTTACCTTTTGAAGAAAAGATTTGTGTTGAACTTTTTATACCAAAATTAAATGTATGCTTTTTATTGAGTTGGTTTTTGGATCAAGTGCTTTTTTGTTGTCCTTTTCATTTTTATTCTTAAATTCTACTTTGCACTTAATAGACTTAAAAATAATTCAATATTTCTCTTATATTTCAACTTAAAAATAGACTGTAACTAAATTAGGTGTGTGGAATTATATTAAATTACACTTGAAATGTATTCTACTGGTACATTTCATGGTATTCTAAAATTATCCTGTATGGAAATAAATAACCATCTGCATGTTTATTTGAGCATTAGAATAGTGAAAACTGCACTAGAAAATTAGTGTACATTATGCCTATCCATGCAAACATCAGGGTGCTATAAAAATTCTGTGCTTGGTGATTTGGTTTATTTGTTCCAAGTATCAGTTTCGTCTTTCCTCTTGACACTGAAAAACTACTTGTTTTATTGTTGCATCTGATAGTAATCAGATATGACTCATCTAGTCCTGAATGCTGTATATGTTTAAGGTTGTCAACATGTTTTTTACTGAACAAAAGCTATTCCTGAAAAATAATTTTTGCTATTTCAGTTAATGAGTAATGTTTTTGTCTTCTCTATAGCGAACATGAGCGGTGTTAAACTATCCTAATAAATACCTTACACACAGCATGATACTAAATTGTCAACTTAAATACCCGTTCAGTTCAAATTATACTGTAAGTGTAACAAAAGAGTAATTGCATACCATCGGAAAGTCCTCCCTGGAGGAATAGTGTTGACTGATCATTACATGTTGATGGGCTTCAGTAAGAAATGGGTTTCCTCTTACGGGGAGAAATCTGAGATCATCTTTATTCCATAACCTTTTATTAATGACCAGGATTTCTAATAATCAATTACACTTGGTGGAATGGGTTTTAATGTACTTACTCATATATTTCTTGAGTTGGCCAATGTGTGCAATACAAGACAATAAGGAATCTTCTGTCTTGGGGTAAGGTTGATGAAACTGGATATAGAGTCCAGTTAGTTGAAATGATTGTTCAAGAGCATATTATGAAATTGTTTGGCCAAAGTGAACTGATACAGCCAATATGTACTGACAGTAAAGCCCAGTTTTGTGTCAAACAAAAATAGAAAGGAAACCACCAAAGTGAGGTTAAAGAAAGCTTTACAAAAAGTACTAACATGCAAATAGGGATTGTACTAATATGTAAGTGGAAAAGAATCCCAAGCATGCATTAGGTTTGAAAAATGAGACATAGCAGAGAAGTCATTTAAGTATAACAATCATTAATAAGTAAGACAGAAAATATTACTCTTTGGAACACGCATGATATTTGTTACATAAATGAATAATCTATTATGTAGTAAGCACCTACTACACTGAGTGGCCAGATTATTATGATCTCTGAACGCATAATAATCTGACCACTCAGTGTATATTCTATATAATAAAAGGCTAATAAGCAAATTGTCCCCTCAACCAGGAGCTCAACCAGCAGGCAGGCTGGCCAGCCACCTATGTCCCTTCCCCTTGACCAGGCTGGCCAGACCCTACCCATGCACGAATTCATGCACCAGGCTTCTAATATCTAACATATATGTGTGTGTGTGTGTGTGTGTGTGTGTGTGTAATAAGTGCCAGATTATTATGCATTCAGAGATCATATTAATCTGTCCATTCAGTGTAAGTGCTAGGCAGAGTGTGTGTGTGTGTGTGTGTGTGTGTGTGTAATTCATGCAACAGTACTATAAATAAGGTATTATTTTCCAGTTGAGAATATTTGAGACCTAGAGTTAGTGAATAATTTTGTTTTGTGTCACACATTACTAAGTGGTACAACCCATAACTCAACCTATGTCTTTTTGACTAAAGCAAAAATTCTGACCACTCACCTTTTTTAGTGGGTTCAGAAGGCAACATTGATTCCTTTCTGATTTAT